GCACTCGTTGCTCCGCTTCTTCCCGGGAGATGGTGCCGAGGCCGTGGTGCAACCATGCCGTGCGGTTCATGGCAAGCGACCTTTTCAAGGAGCTGAAAAGCTGCCAGGTGCTGTTTGGCCTCCTTGTGGTTGTTGCCTCGCACTAGCACATGCACTTAACACGGGGGCAGCAAACATCATAATCTGGTCATCGGGGCCTCGATGAAGAATTGGGATAACAACTGCAGAGACTTGTCCTGCCACCATGGTCCTTGCCGAATCGGGACTTGAGACCTTGGAGCGCATGTTGAGCTGCTGTTCCTCACGCGCAAAGGCTTATAGTATGCTCCCTGACTCGCCCTTCGTCTCTACGGGGCCATGCTGCGATAATCAGGACCCTTGGCATATTCCTGGGCCTCTGGGTTCCTAACAGGGAACTCAAACACAACACACCATTTACAGTTCATTGGGTCAAAAGGCCAACAACGAAAACACACAGCACGCACAAAGACAAACCACGCCAACACATTCACAAGAACAACAGCAAATGTACATGCTTGAGCGGATTTATACTCATGCTACTTTAGTTATATCTGCTCTGAATATTGCACCTGGCGGCTGCGGCAGCCCCAACACGGCGACGACAAACACAACTCAACGAATGGAGAAGCTGACAGGAAGGAACATAAAACCTTGAGATATGACTGACAACATTCTCCAGACAATTTTTGACATAGAATCTCAAAAAAATCCTTAACCGATGATGCCTGTCTGGCTTCCACGCCAACCTGCATCGAGGTACTAATCCAGCCGCAGCACGCAGCACGGCAATGGCAAATGTGCGAATTTGTGCTCTGCTACACCTGCAGCTTCATCCCGAAAGCTATGGCTTGCATTTCATGCGATGCCACAACTTCAAAAGCTCAGTTGGGCCACGAATCGGGAAGCTGGGTCGAATTCGATTGCACAAGCCATGGATGGCAAAAAGCTTGTCTATTCCTGTTGAGTTCATAACATGCTTCATCTTTGCAACATGTCATCCGCATGCGCGGCTAAGGATCAGCCCGCGTGAGCTCTGTCTCGAAGACTGCTAGAGCGGGATCATGGTAACATGCAGCTGAGTGATCGAACCAGCGCGGTCGGCTGCACGGCTTTCAGCCCGGGAGCTGGATCGAAGAGAACGGGAACGCCGGGATCGCGAGCTCCGAGAGCTCAGGCTTGAGTGATCCGAGCGTCCACGTCCGAAATGCTGTCCACGCTCGTCAGATAAACTTCGGAGGTTGGATTGAGTCAAAGTCGCCGTGGGAATAAACATGTTGGCAACCCAGCGCTCCAAAAAATGGTCGTACTCCCGGGTCACGGACGCTTGCCGCTCGCCAACTCCCAGCAGCTTTAAGGTTACAGCAGCCGCCTGGGGAATGGACAAACGTCCCATCCGGCAGTTTCCGGTTGGCTCAACGCGTGGCCCAGCTATGCTAAGTCGATAAGGAGAGCATGGTTTTGTAGATTATCATGAGTATAGTCCTTGCTACGAGTTCATGAAAAGGGACATAAATCAATATGTGGGTTTGCGGTTCAAGGCAAATCCAATTGCAAACAACGATCCTACAAGGCAGGAAACCACACGAAACCAACAACCGTCTCTCCTCGTCTGACTCCTTCAGGAGCTGCAGTTGACTGCGCAAAGACAAGTGGCTCTCCGGGCTTACAATGTCCAGAATGCTGTCCTTGCACTCACAGGAAGTTACACCACCCGTCTGGTTTCTTGGACATCTGGAATTAGACCATTGGAACTTCTGGAATTTGTGGAGTTGGCGTACAAAACCGTCCGTGGCCCTTTACATCTTTCTCCCCAGGAAACCAAAACGCTAATGCCAAAGCGCTGCCCCATTGTTTCAAAGCATCCGGCATGCTGTTGCTCGGGTGCAACGACTTGCACAACTGCTTCATCCCATCACTCATGATTTGGATTTCGAGCGACTGCAAGTCGAAAACCAGGCAAAAATCCGCAGCGCTGCTGGTGGGTGGATGTACTGGAGCTGCAGCAAGCGAACCACGTTCAAAGTCCTGTATCTCACGTATACCCACCAGGAAGCACCTGACAGCGTGCAATGCCCTACGTGGTGCACATTGAGGCCTTCTCTTAAATTTTCCCCTGCCGTGAAAAAAGGAAATTCAGAGAGGATTGTTCGCTGAGAAGCCTCTTTGGCTGCCTGCCATGGGGGTCAGAAAAGAAAAGAATGACCCAGCATGGCAAACTAAACGAGGAGTAGAGTCAAACCAATTACTACCAGGGAGCCAGCAAAACCACTGCTAGCGCGCCGCTCTTGCCGCTCAAAGACCAAAAGCCGATTTCAATGACTACTTTGGCCCTTGCAGCTATTGGTCATTAACAATGGCCAAGGCCATGTCTGAATTGTCTGACCCGCTGAACCTGCGTGTGGCTGCTGTGTGCGGGGCCGCTGGCTTTGGGCAATTTTGGCCGGCCTGCAGTTAAAGCCTCCATTTTGTGTTCTCACAGCTCAGAGCGGTTCCATCCACTTCTGCTTCCCGCTTGCCCGTCTTCTGCAGTGTGTCCTGGGCTTTAGCTTCTGCTCTTTCAGTTGCTTGTTCTCATCTGTCTGCGCAAAACTATGCAACCTGTCTCTATGTCTGTGGTTGCGCTCGTGGCGTCTCGGTGCAGGTAGTCATGAACCGGCTTTGCGTCTGTCACATACACGCTCCAGCTTCCCACAGATGCAAGCCAGTCTCCTGGTCGAAGCGCCTCGGCCACAAAAAGCGCCCTGAAGTACCCCGTGCTGTTGACTGCTACAATGAAATAAGCACCAATACTCCTGTAGCGCATTTGCTCATCAATATCAGCAAGATGCACAAGATCCAAGTCCTGCAATCTTCTGGATTTTCGCACGCTCTGTGCGCCTGTCCAACATGCTGTCTCAGCTTCACAAGGCCTGCCACGCAGCTTCGCAGCCTGACACACTTCTCGTAATCAAGGCCGGTGCACCGCAAACTGTCTTGCAACTCAGCCAAGTGCATCAGCACTGCCCTGTAAGGTCCGCATGTCATCTGGTGTCAGTGGGGATGCCGCCTTGTCGGCCTGGATGTTGCTCATGGCCAGTGCACAGTTGCGCATTGAAACATCTGCGCATCCTTGTTGAAGATGTACTTTCTGAAGCTATTTGTTGCAAACTCCAGGGCGTTGTCCTTCCTACAAGACATCGTCGACGCAATGTTGCCGAACTCCTCCTTCAATGTCATCAACAGGTGTGACCGGAATTCCCGACAAAAGCTCGCAACAACGCAAACATCCAATTTGGACCCCACCCAGCTGTGTGAGATAATACGGTCTTGACGAGCGAGCCAAAACACTTGCTGCAGCGCATGCTCAAGCCTGCTTTGCTTTGGGCTTCCTCTCAAACAATGATATTTCTTCAACTCTCGCTTTCCGTCACTCTGGTTCCGCTTGCACCGCTCGATGCCGCTCGTGTCTCAGGCCGCTGTGAGCGCTCTGGCTCCGTTGGACGTTGCCCCTCTGTCTCGGAAACGTCTTATCATACTCCGAAAGCAGGGAGGGCCTTTTGTAGATCGCTTCTTGCGCTGCTGATAATTTTTGCATACGGGTAATATGGGGGAGCTGCCCCGGCTGGGGGCGGGTGCATGCCAAGCACAAGGAGCCTTGTAGATCCCTTCTTGCGCTGTTGATAACTTTTGCGTACGGGTAATATGGGGCAGGACCTGCCCCGGCTGGGGGGGGGGTGCACGCCGAGCACAAGGATTTCTTGTACCTCACTTCTTGCGCTGTTGATTTCCTTGTTTCAGACAAAGGGGCGAAGCGTGCGCTGAGCGCGACTGTCCCTCCTGGCCAGCCGAAGAGCAGCTCGCGCGAGACACTGCACGAGAGTTACATTATTGTACGCTCTGGCCAGACTGCTATATGCGCAATCCACATTGCGGGCGCGCTCTGGCTTCCAAGGACTTGCGCTGTGCCACGCCAGTCTGGCTCCTGGTTCACGCCACCATGGTAAAAGGGATCCGGTGAGGTCGAATCTCCGCTTGGCGAATGGCACTGGAACGCTGCCGAAACATATGTTGATTTGGCGCGCTCCACCATGGACAATATTGCGCGTTGCTCACGTTTTGTTGCTGTCCTGCTTACTACATCTGCATTGGTCGCCCCGCGCCGTCCCTCCCAGCCGTCGAAGACCCCTGCCAGGGTTGCCTGCAGGATTCTTATAATGAGGAATATAGTGGTCCCTGGCGAATTGGAATCGGCAAGTCCGGATAACCTGTTCCAAGGTCAACAATGACAACAGCCTGCAGGGCAAGCCAGAAGCACCGAAAAAGGGTTGTGATCCTCCATGCCTCTGAAAAGCAACGCGACAACTCGTGCAGAGAGTAGGTCATCTGTTCAATAGGCTGCCTGTTTGTCGAATCCAAAACGTAGTCGCTCCACGGCTCGAAGGCAGCCATGTCCTTGAAGTTGCGCGTCGCCCACTGCTCACTGCTCAGCCAAGCTTTATCTTCGGCCATGCACACATGAAGTGCAAGCATTGTCCACATAATAGGCTCCAAGTTTGTGGCCTCTAGCAGCGACTACAACAGTCGCACAACCTGCAAAGTTCAGGTTTTGGTTGTCGGCCATGTGAGTGAACTTCCGCACCTTGAGGGCTATTGCCCAGCCGGCTGCTCGAAGCACTGGGTGCCGAAGCGCATCCTCTGACGAAGAACCATATGATGTTCAATACCTTCACACACCTTTAAACTTTCACGCATCCGCGTCGCAAAGCCAGTTCTGCCAGCGGGGAGACATATGCAGCCAGCCTAGCTTCAACTGCTCCTGCCGCGAAAATTGAGGGTGTAGCCGTGTAGCCGCGTAGCCCACATCTTTGCTCCCCGACGCAGAAATTGTTTTGACCAGAGCTCCGAGCTGGACGAAAATGGCTCTTCTTCGGAAGACCAAATGCGCCTTGAGTCCTGAAGTCTGCAGACCCCATTGCATGCATTCTTGTTGCAGCTCCTTCGCGGTCTCAACGTTCAGGATGCTCAGGCATTCATCTCCGCATTCGGCACTCAGAGCTTTGGCCGCTCCGCTGCTGCTTAAGTCTTGCGCTCCTCATGCGCATCTGCCGGGAATGACTCACCAGTCGCAAAAACGCAAATCAAAAACGCAAAGAATGCTCCATCAAAACTTCTTCTCGGTTACTGAAGGTGTAGACGTCATCCGTGGCCTTGTCAACCTCTTCAGGCTTGGATTGAACTTCATGGGTCGAACTCGCGCACCGCCGTTGGACAGGATGAATGACCAAATTGCCCGAATGTTTGCAGTGAAAGCATCCGATTTGACCTCCATGCCATTCATCCAAGGCGTGATTTTCCAAAAGCCATCACTAAAACATGCTTTAAGGGGATGAAACTGTGCACAACTAAGCAAATACTAAACCGATTCGCGGTGCGCAGGCTCGAATTTTAAAGCAGCACTGGGTCAGCTCAAGCGACACTACAACAACTCTCCTGGATCTTCCAAATTATGGAAATTTCACGTAAAATCCGGAGACTACAGTTTGTTTGAGGGTCTCAGTGAAAAAAACCACGGAGGTTTCAAACTCCGGTCTTTTGAGGTAAAACTCCTAGAAATTGATTGTCGCTTCTGGAAAGGGTATGCACACCTGAAACCCCTAAAATCGCGAATATTATTCGGTACTTGACGGAAGGAGTCCAATTCACACATATTCTGAATTCGGAATTCTTGCCTTTGTGCGGCAAATTGGCAAAACCGGAAAGCACCACACCTGAAACTCAGCGCAAAACACCCGCAACAAGCCCGCCAAACAACAAAACGCAAACTCTCGCAAATCAAAAAAACACGGAGTTTCCGGAGAGTGCAAAATAAAATCAGTGGAATACCCACTCGAGTGCGCAGAGCTGCATAGTTGCTGGGATAGTGTACAGAGTTGTACAATTCATTGCGGGCCCTAACAAGAAAAAAGACAACAAGACTTGTTTCCAATTGTTTCCCCCAAGAACCACTCCTAGTTTTTGATGTTCACTATGCAATTTGCCAGCCACTCCTGCTTTTTGATTCATGCATTTGAAACACCTGAAACAACTAGTTTTCAGAGGATCTCTTGGAAATAACTCGGAGAACAGAAAAACAAAGAAATGACCCGGAGACGGAGGACCCAGGCTGGTACTTATTGAGCGGCTACATCAGCAGGCCCAACTGGCCAACGCCTGTTTTGAGGCTCTCCCGTACTCGCGCGTCGCCCCCCCCCCCCCCCAAAAAAATGTTTGTTTGAGGGGCTGGCCTGTACTAATCCCGACCCAAAAGTACATTGAGAATGGTTAAGATTGTCCCATGGCCTGTCATTTGTCAAGTTGTCGAACTGCACGCATACCAGCTCAACCTTCACACGGTTGAAATCCGAGTCCAGTATGTCTGCATTCAACGCCGTTGCAGATTGGCTGGTGGAAGTCCGAAATTGCTCCGAAATGCGAGCCCTGTCCTCCTCGTGAAACAAGTTCGGCAACACCTCCCCAGACAAACCTGACGCCCTTTGCGTTCGCAATAGCATGGAAGAGAGCTGGGGCGAATCCTTGCAAAGTCGCAGCAAACTGCGGAGTTGCCCCCTACACGTCCCGCACTTTGAAGAGGCTTACTTTTGATTTGCTTGGAAGGTGTGGGCTGTTGCCTGGCTCTGAACACCTTGAAACCTGACACAACATGAAGCAACACGTTTCACATACTGCTTGCAGCCAGGGTCGTGTGCGAGCCTTAATCCTTGATCCACCTCTAGCACTGCATCGTAGCACGCAGCAAGTAAGGAGGAGACCGCCCCCAGCTCCACGGTCCGCTTCTGCACGTCCACCCTCAGGAGCACATTCTCCAGCAGGAGCCTTCGTACGGCCAAAATGCCCCAAAACATCGCCAGAAATATGGGGAGCAGGCCTGGGATGGGGATGGCCGACTCTGTGCCTTGAGCATCTTGAGCCACGGTGAGTTGGATGGCTTGGAGAAAGTGTGCGGTTATGCAAAAGACCACGCAGGACGCGCGTTTCGCCAGCACCGCATACATGAAGCGGCCGGGAAAGGTGAGAGTGATCACGTCCCTGACATCGATGCTCTGAAACAACCCCGCAATCACAATTGCAGCATCCATGCCCAAGGCCGCCATCATGTACAAGACATCCTGGCTGCAGGGATTGATCAGTCGTGGACACCACACTAGCACCAGCCCCATGGCGCACACCCAAAGAAGTCCAAGTTCAAACTCTTCCCCAGTTTGGTCCCCACGTGATCGCCGCACTTGTCGCAACAGCAAGCGGGGCAGGTTTATTGCAAGAAACACCCACCAAGTTGTACGTGTCCAGGAGCAGCGCATCCTCGCCAGCTCCTGCCCACTGTGGTCCGAAGCATCAGCCTCTTCCAGGTACTGCCTCTTGATTTTGTTCCACTGCTCGCGCCATTTCTGTTTCCAACATGCCACCATGGATCGAAGGGACCATGCGTTCGCTTGAAGAAGGGAGACCACAAGCTGGATCAGTTTTAGCAGAAGACCCAGCTCCAGTACCAAGATGCCAGGGCGCAACACAGATTCCGCGAAGGCTTCCATGGCTTCTCGGGAAAAGACGGGAATCGAAACTTGGCTGAGCCCTCCGGAAAAAACACGAGCCTTCAAAGTCTTCGAGCCATCTGTCGAATGACGAAGGGTGGTCAAAACAAACAATGGAATCCACGCAGTAACATGAAAGTTGCCATTTGAAAGCTTCTATGGAAGATCTGCTGTGGACAGAGGTTCCACACAAGAGTTCTCTGTTCGGTAGAAAGTCCTGGACAAGATGACTGTGGAAGGACCTGCTTTGCAGGACGTGTGGAAAGAGATCACTTGGTAAGATCTCTTGGCAAGACTTGTGCGCAGGATCTCCGAGAGAATCCTCTACAGGAAATCTCTCCTCAGGCCTGCGCGGGATCCGTTGAGAGGATCTCTATGAAGGACTAAAACAAGACATTTGTGGGGGGATCTGTACAACATCTCTACACACAATCTCTGCGTAGGGTCTGTCTTTGGGATGCCCTCGACAAGCGTTCTGTTGAAGGTTTGCGGGGAGCACCCTCTACAAGATCACTCAAAAGCAAATCTTTGCAGGTGCTGCACCAGACTTCTCTGAGAGGATCCCTATGAAGGACCGGCGCGAGATTTCTCTCTGGACGGCTTTTACAATATCTGCACGCAGGATCTCTTGATAGGACGTCTTGCCAAGACCTGGCAGCAGGATCTCTGGATAGCATCCCTTGGCGACATCTATGCGCAGGATTCATAGAGGTGCCTCTTCATATTAAAAGCTCTGCGGCCAGGATCTGTAGAAAGCACTCTCCACAAGGTCTCTTGCGAGAGAATGCTTTCAGGTCCTGTGCTTCGATGTTGACAATTTGTATTGCGCCACAGCGAGAGCGACCCGGGCCAACTACTTTTCGAACATTCCGCACAGGGTATTCACTTTCAACTTTGAATGTTCAGTATTCGCAAGAGCGATGGAGCCTGCTCTCAGCTCCACGGTCCGCTTCTGCACGTCCCTTCTTAAAAGCACATTCTCCAGCAGCCGAACGGCTGCAATGCCGCAAAATCATCGGACACGCTATCACTAGCCCCGTGGCGCATACCAAAAAAAGTCCAAGATCACGCTCTTCCCGAGTCTGGCCCCCATGTGATCGCCACACTTGTCGCAACAGCAACCGGGGCATGCTTCTCGCCACAAATACCCACCAAGATTTACCAAGCTCGCTCTCCGCGAAGCCTTCCCTGGCTTCTCAGGAGAGCAGATGTTGTCCGGGTTGACGTTGTCAGCTCCACAAGACACAGCACGCAGAAAGATGTGAATTTCAGCCGAGTTTTTCCCAAAACAATGTTCGGACCATTTTGGACCCTCTAACATTCATGGCTTGGCTTGGCGCAATACGGTGGATGGAAGAAATCTTGCATGACTTTGAAACAGATCCAACCCTTCTTAGTACGACTTGCCCCGTAACCCCCCAAAATAAAATTGTTCCTAATTTTGCCAAGTTGGATTGGAGTTGGTCATGCAAGAATTAGGTCATTGACAACCTATGAGGGGCCGCGGGGTGGCAAACATGTAGTCTTGTAAACTCATACAAGATTTCTTCCATCAACAGTATGAGCCAGGCATTGCCGTGGGAAGGAACACTATGGGATGTCACTGGCAACACCCCCTGGCAACTTGAAAGGGGACCTAGCAAAAGGGCTCCTTAAAAAGAAGCTCACTTGCAGGCAATGCCTCTTTCTGTTCCATCCTAACCTGCAGCGCACACTGGCAATTGCCCTTTGCGCCTTCTCTGTTGAGCTTGATCCAAGCAGCTTCCTCCCGCAAGCTGTGGCTCCGACATTTCATGTGGCACCACAACTTCAAGGGCATTTCTGCGCCATGAGTCGGGGAAACTAGGTCCAGTTCAAGCTGGCCACCAAACGTATGAAACCTACATGGACCTAAAGAACTGTTGATACATCTCATAACAAGCTTTCTGACAATATCATTGAACCCCGGAACTGCCCTCACAGCGGGGTCTTGGTGACATGCAGCTGGGAGATCGATCCAGATCGATCAGTACGGAGACGTATTCTACCGGACCGGCTGGATCGGCTGGAATGCCTCGAACGGGAGCTGCGATGGGACTTTGAGCGCTGCGACCAGGATGAGCCTCAGTTCTTCAGTGACCATGAAGAAAAAAGGGAACCCTTCTTGGGGAAGACCGGGCTTTTTGGGAAGCCACCCACTGAACAACTGAGGAACTCATTTCCAGAAAATGTCCGTGATCAGGTCCATGAAGTGGCTGAGTCTCCGGTAAACTCCGGAGGTTCGATTCAGTCAAAGTTGCCTTGGGAATCACCAAGCAGGCAACCCAACACTCCAACACTTGGTCGTGCTCAATGGTCACTGTCGCCCTGCGCTCGCCAAGGCCCAGCAAATTGAAGGTCACTGTAGCCACCTCCTGAGCAATAGGAAAAACATACAACTCCATTGTCCCACATAGCATGGCTATGATATGCCCATGCTAGATAACATGGCTTTGACGAACTAACGCGTGCACGTAATCACGCAACCAGTGACAGGCAAACAACAAATCTTGGTGGCAGACAGTGTCTTTTCCCTTGCAACCAGTGACCCAAGAGGTAAAGCAGACTTGGATCCCTTTTTAGGCCGTCTCGCATTCTTAGCGTGTCACAACTTCACCCAGCTAGGTAAATTCCACTAAGCAAATAGTGTGCTTCTAACGATTGAACAATTGGTGCCGTGCAAAAGGGGTTTCTACAGATTGTTGCAAAGCCGATTTAGAGGATATCACTGAACACCGTTGGCATTTGGGCTCCTGGTCTGCCTCCTTCTGCTGCTGCTCTCGCTCGGCAAATTCGTTGGCCATGAGTTGCAGTTGTTTGGTCAACGTCACCCGAGTGTCAGGGCTTGCGATGTCCAGGATATGTTCCTTGAGTTCAAAAGGTGTCACACACCATGACCAACTTCGACATCTCATTGCACTTCAGGCAGAAAACATGGGCCTCTGTCCATGCACTAAACTCGAAACATATCCTCAACTTGTGCGATGAGATTTGAATGGTGGGATTGTTGAGAAACCTTCCTTGGCCCTTGGCAGCTGTTGACTAACCTCCATGTTGGATTTGGTGCAACAGAAGTGTGTCAAACTGTCCATGCCAAAGCGGCTTTTCAAACATCGGCTTTTTGACCACGCACTTCCTCAACGTTTTCGATTTCGGCTAATGGAATGTTGGGAATTGAAAAAGGAACCTCTGTTGGCCCTTTGCATCTGTTGGTCTTGGTGCAAAAACGTGTATCAAACTGCGCATGTCAAAGTGGACTCATATTCTGTCCCAGCAGCCGGCATGTTCCCACCCACCGGCAGCAGCTGTTGGCAAAGACGCTGCATTTCATCGCTCATAATGTGAAGTTCGAGCGAGTACACATCGAAGACCACAAACAAATCTTCATCCCCTCTGAAGGTGGCTGGATGAGATTGAGCTGTCACCGGACCACGTTCCAAGTCCTCACCCCCTTCGAAGGTGGCTGGATGTAATGGAGCTGTCAACGGACCACGTTCCAAGTCCTGCATCTCACGTACACCCACCAAGAAGTTCCTGGCAGGACATTTCGACCCGATAATTACCCCGGTGAAAATCTCATCAAAACCAACCAAAGAGGCAAGTTGCATTTCGCAAACGATGTGTGGCTGATTATGGCTGAGATTACCCCATGGCCTGTCATTTGTCAGGTTGTCGAACTGCACACATATCAGCTCAACCTTCACACGGTTGAAATCCGAGTCCAACATGTCAGCATTCAACGCCACTGCAGACTGGCCGGTGGAACTCCGAAAATGATCCGAAACGCGAGCCCGGTCCCCCTCGCAAAAGAAGTCCAGCAAAACTGCCCCAGACAAACCTCCCGCCCTTTGCGCTCGCAATAGCATGGAGGAGAGCTGGGGCGAATCCTTGCAAAGTCGCAGCAAACGGGCAGAGTTTGCTCTCTATACATCCCGCACTTTGAAGGGGACGCTTGGTTTATTACTTTGTTTGGCTTCATGTTGTCCAACGCCGCTTGCCTTGCTCTGAACAAATTGACATTTGACATCACATAAAGCAACACTTTTCACGCACAACTTGCGGTAAGGATCGTGTGCGAGCCTTAATCCTTGATCCACCTCCAGCACTGCATCGTAGCACGCAGTAAGCAAGGAGGAGACCGCCCCCATCTCCACGGTCCGCTTCTGCACGTCCACCCTCAGGAGCACATTCTCCAGCAGGAGCCTTCGTACGGCCAAAATGCCCCAAAACATCGCCAGAAATACGGCGAGCAAATCTGGGATGGTGACGTCCGACCCTGCAGCTTGAGAATCTTGGGCGTGCCTCGCCACGGATAGGTGGATTGCTTGGAGAAAGTGTGCGGTTATGCAAAAGACCACGCAGGACGCGCGTTTCGCCAGCACCGCATACATGAAGCGTCCGGGAAAGGAAAAAGTGATCATGAACATGACATCGATGCTGTGGGAGAGACCAGACATCAAAACTGCAGCGTCCATGCCCAAGACCGCCATCATGTACAAGACATCCTGGCTGCAGGAATTGATCAATTGTGGACACCACGCTATCACCAGCCCCATGGTGCATACCCAAAGAAGTCCAAGGTCAAACTCTTCCCGAGTCTGGTCCCCATGTGATCGCCACACTTGTCGCAACAACAACCGGGGCATGTTTATCGCCAGAAGCACCCACCAAGCCCTGCGTGTCCAGGTGCAGCGCATCCTGGCCAGTTCCTTCTCACTTCCAACCGCAGCCTTCTCCAGATACTGCCTGGTGATTGTGTTCCACTGCTCTCGCCCCTTCTTCCAACATGCCAGCATGGATCCAAGGGACGGTTTGTCAGCTTGAAGGAAAGAGACCACCAGCTGGATCAGCTTGAACAGAAGACCCAGCTCCAGTGCCAAGATGCCGGGCAGCAACACGGCTTCCGTGAAGCCCTCCATGGCTTGTGAGGAAAACGATGACTTGGGCACTTGGCTGCGCGCAAATCTGTGAGCCACTTGGCAAATGCCACAGCAATCGCAGAATTCCAACAAAACATGGGTTGATGAGAAGTTGTCAAAGCACGCAAGGTGTTTGACTTTTTGGGGGTTTAGTGGAAAACGCAACTTGATTTTAACCATAAAGTTGAAGTCTAAAGATCCAACCCAATAAGCAGTCAAGGCAGAAAGATGTGAATCTCAGCCAAGGAGGTTTATTCCCAAACCAGGATCGGATCAATCTGGTCCCCTCTACATTCATGGCTCGGCTTTTTGCAATATGAACAAGGCCTTGCAGGCACTTCTTAAAGCACGGGAAGGAAAACCAAACCGTGGCATATCCCTGGCAACACTTTTCTGCAAATTGAACCAGGAACCCGAAAATGGGTTCCCTCGACAGGACGAGGTTCCTCAAGTCAAGTGATGCCTGGCCCATGCCAATCTGCAGAAAATGAGTTTTGCGCCCCTTGCTTTCCCACCTGAGCCTGACCCGGAGCCCCCCAAAAAAATCCAACACTCTACGTGGTACCCCCACTTCGAAGGCTGCTTTGGGCCATGAGTCGGGGAAACTAGGTCCAATTCAAGCCGTGCAATTCACTGCGCAAGCCATGGAGTTCCATGAGCCATCGGGCAAACTGAGCCGAAATGAGTCCGAAACGGTTGATCGTCCCTATTTGATCGCAAGATGTCTCAGCAAACGCCCGGCCCACGGAACAACGTAGCAAGCTCATTGCCCGCATGCAGCGGCCCGGCGCCGCTACACGACTATTGGCGTAGCAAAGCCTTTGGAAGCTTGTGGCATGGTTGTGTGTGGGTGAACCGTGGGTGACACAATCATGATCCAAGTATTGAAGAATTAGTTGTAGTGCCAGCATCTTCGAAAGACAACTCGGGCCGATACAGCCCAAAATGTCTGTGCTGCGCTTCAAAGGCTCTTAGTCACAGTGTGGCCTTGGTAACATGCAGCTGGGAGATCGATCCAGATCGATCAGTACGGAACCGACGTATTCTACCGGACCGGCTGGATCGACTGGAATGCCTTGAGCGGGACCCACTGCGACGAGACCCTTGGGAGCGCTGCGACCTGCGTGAACTGCTTCCCAGGAAATGTCCGTGATCGTCCATGAAGTGGCTGAGTGTCCGGTAAACTCCGGAGGTTCGATTCAGTCAAAGTCGCCTTGGGAATCACCATGCCGGCAACCCAACACTCCAACACTTCGTCGTGCTCAATGGTCACACTGTCGCCGTCCGCTCGCACAGGCCCAGCAAATTGAAGGCCACCGTAGCCACCTCCTGAGCAATAGGAAGCCTGATAGAAGCCACGAACCCGAATGCGACACGAAAGCGGACTCTTGTCACATCTCGCGTCGCGACTCCAGTCACATTTCTATAGTCACGTCTCCGGTCACGTCTCTAGTCACGCCTTTGGTCACGTCATTTGTCACGTCTCTCGTAGCAACTCTGGCCACGTCCCTCGTCATGACTTTCGTCAAACCTTTCATTTTGTGTCTCGCCGCGCCTCTCGTCACGGCCCCGTCACGTCTCCCATCACGCCTTTCTTGGCGACTCCCGTCATGTCCCTTGTCATGTGAGTCGTGACCCCTGCGGCGTCGCGTCTCTGGTCTTTTATCACCTGTCTCGCCGCGCCTGTTGTCACGACTCCGTCGCGTTTCCCCGATGTGTCTTTCTTGGCGACTCGCGTCAAGTCTCTTGTCACGCATGAGTCGCCGGCCCTCGCGTCACATCTCTGGTCGCGTCTCTCGTCACAACACACGTCTCTTGTCACATCTCTCGTCACGTCTCTGGTCCATCTCGTCACGTCTCTCCTCACACATGATCATTTATCGCCACGTAGAGTATCTGGCTATGCCTCGTTTTTCTTGTATAGTCACGTCTCTGGCGGCGTCTCGAGTCACGTCTCTATAGTCATGCCCCTTGTCAGGCTTCTCGCAACAGCGTCTCTTGTCACGTCTCTCTTTTTTTCCTGGTCACGTCTCTTATAACACGTCTTTGGTCACGTCCTTTGTCGCGTCTCACGTAACAACATCTATCGTCACGTAGCTAGTCACGCTTTTGGTCACGTCCCTTGATCTCTTGTAATTACAACTCTGGCCACGTCTCTCGTCATGACTTTCATCACATCTTTCATCATCACATCTTTGTCTCGACGCGCCTCTCGTCGCGACTACGTGGCATCTCCCGTCACGTCTTTCTTGGAGACGTCTCCTGTCACGTGCGTCGTCGCCCCTCGCTCGCTGGGGACGTCTCTGGTCACGACCCTCGCCACGTCTCTTCTCACACGTCTCTTGTCATATTTGCCGTCCCGTCTCTGGTAACCTCTCGCATCACGATCCTCGTCACGCCTCTTGTCGCATCTCTCGTGAAGTCTCTGGTCACGCCTTATCTCGCGTCTCGTCGCGACTCTCCTCGCACGTCTCTTGTCACATCCATCACATCCATCGTCACACCTCTGGTCACGTCTTTGGTCACGTCACGTCTGTCGTAACAACTCTGGCCACGTCTCTCGTCATGACTTTCATCGCATGTTTCATCACGTGTCTCGACTCGCCTCTCGTCGCCCGTCGCGACTACGTAGCATCTCCCATCACGTCTTTCTTAGAGATCCTGTCGCGTGCGTCGTCGCCCCTCGCGTCACGTCTCTTCTCAGACGTCTCTTGTCATACCTGGATCTTCCGCCTTTTCGTTCGAAACTGCTTTTCCAGGGAAGGTCATCACATTTTTGCCTGGAGGAAATTTTCCTGTGTTTTGCTTTTTTTGGATGTATGCAACACACTGGCGGAGGCGTTTCCCGATACAAAAGCGTTTTTTGGCGACACGAAGGCGTTTTGTGCCGAACCCTGTCCTAGGCAGGAATCCCAAGGGCGCTTTTTGAAGGGAAAAGCGTTTTTATGGAAACGACAAAAATTATGTAGTTACGGCAAGAAGCGAAAACTCCGGGTTTTCTAGGTGTTTGCCGTCCCGTCTCTGGTACCTGTCGCGTCACGATCCTCGTCACGTCTCTCAAACATCGTCACGCCTCTGGTCACGTCTTTCGTCACGTCTTTGGTCACGTCCTTTGTCACGTCCGTCGTAACGACTCTGGCTTTTATCGCATCTCTCATCATGTGTCTCAACGCGCCTCACGTCACGGCTCCGTCACATCTCCCGTCCTGTCTTTGGTGGTCTTTCTCAAATCTCTATAGCCACAACCCTACTCGCATTTCTCTCGGCATCGTGTTTCGTCACGACTTCGCGATCTTAAAATGTGCTCCGCACCATGCACGGCGAAAGCAATTCAACCCATCCAAAGTGCTGCTGTGCGATTTCAAAATGTGCGTCTCTTGTCACGACCCTCGCCACGTCTCTTCTCACACGTCTCTTGTCACATTTGCCGTCCCATCTCTGGTACCCTCTCGCGTCACGATCCTCGTCAACACAGGGCGCACCTGTGTTGAAATGGGTCGTCGGTTGTCGGCGTTTGGGGGTTTTCCAAAGTGGGGGGTGGCGGCACTCTCACGGTGTCGGGGTTCCCCTTTTGGCCGTCAGCCGGTCGTCGGTCGGTCGTCGTCGTTCGGTCGTCGTCGTCGTCGTCGGTCGTCGTCGGTCGTCGATCGGGTCACCTCATGTGTGTCGACGCGCCTCACGTCACGACTCCGTCACATCTCCCGTCCTGTCTTTCGTGGTGAATTTTTTCATGTCTCTATAGCCACGACCCTACTCGCGTTTCTCTTTGCGAGCTCAAAATGCGCACGGCGCCACAGCGAGAGCGACTCGACCCGCCCAAAGTGCGCAGAGACCTTGCAATCTCAAAATGTGAGCCGCGCCACAGCGAGAGCGATTCGACCCACCGAAAGCGCGCAAATGGTTTCAAAATGCGCACCGCGCCACAGCGAGAGCGATTCGACCCGCCCAAAGTCCGCAGAGGGTTCACCTTGCGGTCTCAAAATGTGCACCGCGCCAGAGAGAGAGAGAGAGAGAGAGAGAGAGAGAGAGAGAGAGAGAGAGAGAGAGAGAGAGAGAGAGAGAGAGAGAGAGAGAGAGAGAGAGAGAGAGAGAGAGAGAGAGAGAGAGAGAGAGAGAGAGAGAGAGAGAGAGAGAGAGAGAGAGAGAGAGAGAGAGAGCGATTCGACCCACCCAAAGTCCGCAGAGGGTTCACTTTGCAATCTCCAAATGCGCACCACGCGACAGCGAGAGCGACTCAAATGCTGCGCCTGCCATGAAATCTGCACGTAAGCTGGAAAGTACTGCGCCCGCCACGAAATCTGCACGAAAAGCTTTACAGTGCTGCGCCTGCCACGAAATCTGCACGCGCAGCTCTAAAGTGCTGCGCCTGTCACGAAATGTCACGTTACAGCGACATGCAAAACGCTCAAAATGCTATGATTTCGACCGATCTCTCGCAAATCTGCAGTCGTGAAAACGAGCCGATCGTACGACAGAGCCTACGAAAACGACATTCGAGGAAACGCTTGCGAGCGCATTTTAAGCAAAACACCTCAAAACGACGACCCCTGAAACGCAAATCCCAATGGATTTGCAACGCAAACGTGAGCCTTCACAAAACGCTGCGCCTGCGCTGCAAAACCCTTTCAGACATATTATGTAAGCTCTGAAACCCCTTGACGAACAAATGGCGATTTCTTTTGGGCTTCCCCAGGCCAAGGGGTGCAAAAGTCGTAAACCAAGCATTGGACAGCCCAAAACAACAAATGGGTATGGGTAACCACCAAAGGACCGCAGGTTCTAGTCTTTTGTTTCCATTTACCAGGGTTCCATTTTGGAAGTGTGACCAAGGTTTGGTGGACCTCCTCTTAAAATTCGCCCGTGGCTCACCCCGGCCATCCGGCCACGCCACAGGAAGGGCAGTGCTGGGGAGTAGGTGGCGGCGCAGAAGACCGCCACCAGTGTGGCCCGCAGCGCCAGGTCCGCGTGAAGCGCCTGAGAATCTGCAAATTGTACGATACTTGCAAACAGAACTAACCATCTCCCGAATCGGTGAGCTTGCTGTATATACATTCTGCAGTCGAAGTCCGACAGCTCATAACTCAGTAATTATATTAAGAGTCCCAGATCCATGGGGTTTAGACCTTACCTCAATTTATCTCAAATTATCTCAAATTATCTCAAATTATCTTATTTTTGCATCTAATGTGCAAAAAGATGCAAAAAAATGCAAAAAGATGCAAAAAATGCAAAAAGATGCAAAAAAGTGCAAAAACATGCAAAAAAGTGCAAAAAATGCAAAAAAAACACAATGCAACAAAATGCAAAAAACTGCAACAAAATGCAAAAAATGCAACAAAATACAAAAAATACAAAAAGAGTGCAAAAACAATGCAAACATACATGACACAAATGCAAACAAGGACAAACACATGCAAGAACATACAACATGCATTAAGTGTGTGTCACTCAATTCTATAATAATGATTATTTTTTTATTGTCGCATCAGTGAGTCGCAAGTCATCATGAGCGCACGTTAGCGCCAGCAACGTTGGACCATTCCATTGTCCATCATCATTATTCATTCTTGACGTCGCTGGCGAGCCAGCTCAAAAAAATACTCTGCCATGCGTCAAGTCAAGCGCTTTCCGTAACTTGTGGCAAGGACAGGTGCACGGATCACGGTCATCATCTTCACAGATCGTTGGACTGGGGTATTCTTGCACATAAGTCGAATCAAAGTTCGAGCAATGGGAGCAATGCATTGTCTTGCGATTGTCATTGATGATCATGAGCACTGCGCCACGCATGCCAGTAACAAAGGTCACAGGTTCCCGATTGACGTTCAGCTGACTCGGCAACTGAACAAACGCTTCATGTCCAACCCACATAATAGTCACACCAGGACGACAACACATGCCGCGCCGGTCACCGGTCCTGAAATCTGTCAGAATAGATTCTGCAAGAAATTCTGGGCAAGGTTCACGTTCCAGTTCCGAGTCCAGCTCCGATAAATCTGACTGCTCGACGTCGTCATTGTCATTCCCCTGCTGAAGCTCCGGCTCAGTCATTTCAACTCCCCAGTCCCGTGGCTGAGCGTCAGTCCAGTCAGGCTGAGGAAGTTCGATTTGACACACTGTCGCACTGGCTTCAACTTCTGATTCTGAAGATTCAGTGTAACACACTGTCTGACTTGCAGGAGAATCTGTCACTGTCCGACGCTTCTTATCAGCAGGCAAGCCAGTTGACATGAGGCTTCAATGTCAATGGTTCACAAAATCTCAATCAAGCACGTTGAGTCAACTGCTACTGACAGGCTTGAGCCGCAAAACCGCATCTCAAGCATGACTGGAATGTTTGCAGCCTGAACATGGGTCATGGTTCATGTCATTCATGATGGCATGTGCGCGCACGGCTGTTGCCATAAACTCAAATGAAGTCAGGATATTTATAGAGCGACAACTTGTTTCTTCCTCTTGTTCCATTGACTGCTGGGCCTCAAGTGAGCTTCCGCACTCACGCATCTAAACTCACTTGCGCAGCCCTGTTGCTGTTTTCCAAAGTCGCACACAGTCGAGTCAAGCAGTTTGCCCATCAGTTAAAAGTTGCAGCTCCGCTCTGTACTGGAGCAACACACTGCTTGTCTATTATTGGCTGAAGATCAATCCAGCACGAGGCCATGACGCATTGAATATGCACGAGCAAGCTTGTGACAGGCACATGAACACTGAGGGCCACAATGGTGCGCTAAGCCGCACGCAGAGCACCAAAGAACACGATCTCGCGCAGCCAAAGTAATAGTTCCAGCCCTGGCAGTAAAAAACCACACCTTTTTATGCATCGATGTGCTGTAGCTCACGGGCATCCGAACAAACCAGTCACCTTCGATGAACTTGAACTTGCGATCGGCAGTTGGTAAGGGCATCTGCATCTGGTCAGCAAGCACTTCTTGAAGCACCACTGGGCGCAGATCTCCCGTGTCTGGAGTCGAAGAGCGTGGTCGTTTTTTTGTGGGAATCACATCTTGGGGTCCACTCAAGGTGCCCTCCTGGCATGTGGCCTCCTGGTGTTCGTCATCATCAATGGCAGTGTCATTGGCCATGTTGTTTGTGCACGGCGACGCAGACTCAATAATTATAGTAGCAAAACTACCAGCATCCTCACATTTCCATAGCGTCTGCCTTAGATAGTGTGCGCCCGAACCCCGCACCATCACTTTGCCTAAATTGATGACAGCAACACCTAATGCATACAATCATTATTAAGCCCAGCAGCGACATTGCGAGTTTAGCAAAAGTGGGAAGCACTTGAATCTGCGCTTTCAACTGACAGCACTTGAACCGAACCGCCACAACTTGTTTTGCCACAAGCAATTCCCGTACACAAGTGCAAGCAGGCCAATGACATGATGAGATACTTTGCACTCAGCACACCAGAGGTTCTCGCTATTTTATCAAGTCGTGCGCAACTCGCAAACGAGCAAAGAATTATGCCTTCTGTCTACAGCCACATGTTTTGGAAGACTGGATCCAGTCCTTAACCTGTAGCTCAGTCATTATAGTGCTTGTCCTCCTCAATTGGCCTTTTGATGGCCACTCGCCTGGCAGAGCGCCACCACAGCACAGAACTAAGACTTCAAGACTATTATTACGCACACACACACAAACAATGGTCATTATGATTTGCCCGCCTTTCTCCCAGTCGTAGCACCTCATGATCCAGGTTGGCTTGTCTCGGCCCCCTGGCGCTGGATGAAACTTGTAATGCCCACATTGCTTGCGGCAGGTATTGCAGGAAACCTCAGTCCAGATAAGCGGATCAAACACAGCAGGTTGCCGGGGTCCATGGTGGCCAGGGCGACTTGATTGTGCACCGGCACCATCAGCCATAGCCAAATCATCGGCACTGCTGGAAGCAGCAATGACACTTGCCCCAGAACTTGGCAATGGCTCATCACTGTGCCTTGTCGATTTGCTTGGAGATTGGGTGTGGCTGGCAGGTGGCAGGTCCGCCTGCGGACTCAGCCTGTTGCCGTCGTCCGCCACACTGGCTGGCTTGTCTTCTGGAGGAGCCGTGCTGTTGTCCTCCGCCACACTGGCTGGCCGCTCTTCTGGAGCAGCCTCGGCCTGCGCAGCAGGCCTCGCAGATTCAGGGCACGACGACACTGAGTGAGTTCTACGAACCACCCGCCGCTGCCATGGATTCGGAGTCACAGCTTCAACTTCTTCAGGGACTTCAACCAGCACGTTTCCCTTTTCATGGGTGTCACCTTCGCGAAGAGCAGGGCAGTCTTGTCTTTTCTTCTTCAGTGCGCCATGCCAAATCTTCCTGCTCGCCTTGCTGGCCACTTTGGAGCTGCTTGATTTGGCAGTCTTCAGCCCCTTTATTATGTTGGCTTTGTTGCTTGCCTTGGCCTTGGCCTTTGTCTTGGCCTTGGACTTGGCCTTTGTCTTGGCCTTTGCCTTGGCCTTTGCCTTGGCCTTTGGCATCATGGCCTTTCTGACTACTGCCCATTCCTTCTGCTTCGCACGAGCCTGATGTTTCTCAATTGTTTTTTGAACTTGCTCAAACTCACGACGATCTTCTGGGTCCATGTCCTCCAACACCATTGCATCAAACTCAAGATCATCCTGATCAGCATTGCAGGCACTCTCATCAGAATCACTGTCGTTGCCGGGGGCATTGTTGTGCAGAGCTTGGACCTGAGCCGCGAAGTTGGCCGTGATGTCATCAGTATCGCCATCCCGCTGTGACGTTTCCGCAGCAAGAACTTTCAATAGCTCAGGTCTGCTCATCGCTTGAAAAACTGGCACAGCAGTCTTGCTGCAAGCACGCAGGTCGATGCCCTTCAAGTAGCACACCAGGGCCGCCAGCTCTTTGTTCAGCATCTTCTTTGTCAGCCTGAGCAGGTGACAGCACAACTGACAACAAGACAACATCAAGCATGCTGCCTGACATGAGTGTCACAGCGCGACTTCATTCAGATCCAAGCAGCGTTGGCTGTGTAAGAAAAGTTCTCAGCAAGCTGCGCTCCACACCGGACGATTGCCTGGCCAATCGGAGACCACCTTGCCACTCAATGCAAACAGGCTGCGTCTCCACCACCATCCACATCTCTGGCTGCTCGATGAACATGAAGTCTGCCTGCCCTTCAGCATCCAGCACAAAGCACGCATCTCCAAGGGCACCACAGTGGTTCGCTTCAGGAGTGTCCACCACAATCACGGGCCACCCTATACAAGCCCATGTGGCAGAGCTCAAGCAAAAGCAGAATGACTCATCTGACAAATTCTTCATGACCTCCTGCCGTGGCGCCAGTTTGTTGAACACCCCTTGCCAGATTTTGATGCCTGCCGAAGATCTGTCATCCTTCCAATGCTGAGGCCAAGCCCATGCCGCAGCTCCTTCTTGAAGGCTTTCTTCCGACAGTGTGCCCCAGGTTTTCCTTGCCATAAGTTGATGCCATTCCCGAGGCATATTGTGAGTCTTTGATTTGAACCCACATTTTCTCCGACTTGTATGTCCCTGTCTAAAGTCACCCACAAATTCGTCTCTGGAGATCTTCACATGCGGAATTCCACGGCTTTCAAAGACCTGCGAGCTGCGAGTAACATCTTGGATGGACTCATTTGTTTGCTTTTTGTTGCTTTGAAATTTGCCATCCCTCCGAATATCGTTGTGCACATCTTCAACAATTTTGTTGTCAGGGAATGTGCAAAGCAAGCAGTTCAGCAAGTGAAGTCCTGCCACACTGGCTGTCTTGTAACCACCTGCTTCGAACGCCTCCATCATGATCCTGCATGGGTTTGAAACGATTAGATGTACACTTGCGGACAGCTTGTCGCAAATTCCCTGCGCCAGGCCAAAGGAAGACCGACTAGCAAACACAGTTTCAAGCCACAGCAAAACCTGATGTTCCTTCTTCAGCAAACGAACTGCTTCCTGCTGCACTTGCTCGTTGTCAGCAGCCAGGATTCCTGCATATGATTCTGGG